ATGTCTCCAGAAGAAGGGGATGGTAAACTACTTCTGAGTACTCTCTGCTGGGAAAACCAACGACAAGGGTCGTTGTAAGTCAGAATCAACTTTATGGCACATGATTATGATTTATTAAGAGTTATTGTTTCATTTTGTTTTGTTTCTTTTCTGCCAAAGTATAGTGGCTGTTGTTAAGAAAACCTGCCATTCAACTAATCCCACATTCTGCTTCTTCAAAGTACATGACTAGTGTGTTCCAGCTGTACTAGACTACCATCCCATAATCTCGATACTGAACAGGAAGAACAACATTTGACATTTGGTTGCACATTTTAAGGGACATAGAGCGAAACCCAAATAAAAATTGAGTTTGCTGGTATCCCACAGATCCTGGTATGATTTAAGGCCTTCTTAGGCCATTCATCTAAACATGGATCCATGGTAAGAATGGTAATATGCACATAGTCCCTGCTTTAAACACACACATATCCGACAAGTCAATTAGACCTTTGTGCACTGAGTACAAAGTTCTCAAGGGGATTTGATTTTGTTAAGTGCATTCAGTTGAACAAACTCATATATCTCCTCTGATCAGGATCCCTGTCTTATCAAGGTGTTCACTCAGAAGAGTCCTCTGTGTGTTTTTCTGAAAGTGTTGCTCATAATCTTCAGATTTTAGGGTGTTGGAGATGCTAGTGGGTGGATTTTGCCTGCAGCATGAGAAGTTCATGTGAACAGCTTTATTTTCACACCTGAATTTTTGCACAGTCTTCTTTGAGGTGAATTAGCCTCTACAGCAAATGGTGCTTGTACATCAGAAGTTGCAGAAGGACTATGTCATGCATTGATACAACAAATGTGAACGGATCTGCAGCATGCCGTAGGATACTTGGCAAATACATTTACTTACCTGTCCAATTTTAATTTGTGAGCTAACATCCTCCAATCATGACCTCTTGTCTGAGGAGCATCTAAACTGCTACAAAGCTTCTGTCGGATTGGGAGGGGAATACTGAATGCACTGGGTCCTACGATAGTAGTGATGGTACTTGCTGGGTCCATGAGTGGATACTCAATGCCAGTAGGCTCCTGCATTTTAGACAAAAACAAGTGGAGGACATAACAGTATTACTAATATAGGAAGGCAAAGGGCTCCTAGAGAAGCCATGCAATGAAGTACTATCTCCTGGAGAACAGAAGAACTCGATGTAAAAGGATTACATATATGAAAGTAACTATTTAATATTTGTAAGCTGATTTGGATATTTTTAATAGAAAATCAACCTAAGATCTTTTAAATAAAGAGTCATGAAATGTAAAGTTAATCCAGGTAACCCATTTAATCTCCTGTTGCAACTGGCAGGAACTCTCCAGAGTTCTGGACAAAGTTTTCCCACTAATTCAGTGTTGTCTCAGAATTATAATATAACAAGGTAAAAGGTAAAGGTTCCCCTTGACAGTTTTTGTCCAGTCGTGTTCGACTCTAGGGGGCGGTGCTCATCCCCGTTTCCAAGCCGTAGAGCCAACGTTTTGTCCGAAGACAATCTTCCGTGGTCACGTGGCCAGTGCGACTTAGACACGGAACACTGTTACCTTCCCACCAAAGTGGTCCCTATTTATCTACTTGCATTTGCATGCTTTCGAACCACTAGGTTGGCGGGAGCTGGGACAAGCAACGGGCGCTCACTCCGTCGCGTGGATTCGATCTTACGACTGCTTGGTCTTCTGACCCTGCAGCACAGGCTTCTGCGGTTTAGCCTGCAGTGCCACCATGCCCCCCCATATAACAAGACCTGACTCAAAAAAAGATGCAGGGTCGTGTGTGTGTTTACAACTGAATTGTGCTGGTTACTGCCTTTTGCACCCACCCCTTCTCAAATTGTTGATACCTTATAGGCTTTATATATTACTTTAAATTGAGTTTAATATTCCACAGATGCATGACTTGAATCAGCTGGTTCTGGACAGCTATCTAGCTGCTTCTTACAGTTACACAAATCAGTTATGTTTGACTTTCTGAAACTGGATTCTGGTTGTCTTCTCTGATCACTACTGATAATGCATTGTAGTCAGGTGGTTCAACTGAGTAGGAACATGTCTTGTTGAGTTGTAGCCAACATTTGGCATTGTTAGAGGAACTTGCTCTGCTTTCAATCATAATGTCCCTCTAGTACTCCATGGTGTAGCTGAGTACCAGTGTCTTCGAGGAAGAGTCACACACCTAGGTGGCACATATACCAGATGTCAGACTTTAAAATGAAAAGAACAAGAACAGACATGCGGAAACACATTTCAACAAACACAAAAGGATGAATGGAACAGCCATGTGAAACTGCACTTTATCTGACTTACTTTCTTGATGACTATTGCTTACTTTTAAAAAAAAAATGAAAAAGAAACCATACTGAAATATGTTAGGGCCTAGTACGCTAAATATTTTATGTTCCCAAATGTTATATATCTTCACTTAAAACTGGCAAAGCTCTGCAGGTGATTCTCACACATGTACATCCCCTAAAAGTGATATACATTTCGAAGCAGCCTACAAAAAAAAAAGAAAAACAAAACCCTGTTTCTGTAATAAGAAAAAAAAAAGCTTAAAAGAAAGAAATAAACCTTTTCTGCAGGGAAAAAAAAGTCATAATGGAAAAGACATTTCAAATTCACTGGATAAACCATACTGACAAACCAAAAAGCAAATAATAACAGATCCACATCACTGGGCAGTCCAATAATGTTAAAGATGCCCTCTCATGAAGTGCCTCATCTGTAGTATTCAGAATCAATTTACAAAACATAATTGCCCCGATTTGCAGATGGGGAAACTGAAATCAAAGCAGATGTTCGAGATAAGAAAACAACTCAGTAGCTGAACTAACAGTCTGACCTCTACCTCGTTTTTGACTCAGCTCAGCACCCTTTTCCTTACTGTGTCGGATACTGAGTAAAATGATAGGAAACCATGCCTGTCTTTACAGAAGGAAAAGGCTGACTCCGGAACCATCAAAGGCACAGTCATATTGTTTAAACCTGTATTAAAGCATATGCACAGCATCCTAAGTATACCTATACATGAGAGAGAGAAAAATCAATGTGACATTTAGAGCAGATGAGAACAATAAAAACATCATTCCAGGATCTTACATCTGCAGCAGAAGAAAGGAAATTAATTTGCCCGTCACATCAGCCAACTGGAAAAGCGAGGTAAATGTTGCCTGTGAACTACTAAAACAGTAAAAGAGATCTGCTTTAAAATGTCACTTTCTTTATATTTCAACTAGCTGCTTTGATATCCATGACACAGTTACCTCAGCATGATTCACTGCCACAGATGAAATTGTTTTAAAACTTGCCAAGCTCCTGAGACATAAACAGAGATCACTATCACAACAAAAGAAAGTGTTATTTTTATAAACCAAGGCCAGTCCAAAGTATTTTGCGGCCTCAGACCTAAGCCCAACCCAAGTTATTCTGCCGACCAAGACAAAAATTTCCATAGGCACATCTTACTGTTTCTTCAGTAACAAAAATACAATAATAATAATTAGTTATGTGCTGTCAAGTCGGAACTGACTTACAGTATAGCAACTCTAATAGGGATTTCAAAGTAAGTGAGATATTTAAGGAGTGGTTTTACTAATTTGGGGATTTGAACCCTGGTCTCCAGAGTCTTAGTCTGTCACTTGATCCTGCTACCTAAAGACGTTACCTCACTCTGCCCAATTCTATCATATTTGTTTTATCTATCTATCTATCTATCTATCTATCTATCTATCTATCTATCTATCTATCTATCTATCTATCTATCTATCTATCTATCTATCTATCTGTCTGTCTGTCTGTCTGTCTGTCTGTCTGTCTATCTATATCTATATCTATATCTATATCTATATCTATATCTATATCTATATCTATATCTATATCTATATCTATATCGATCGATCGATCGATCAATCGATCGATAGATAGAGAGATAGATAGAGAGATAGATAGATGAATAGACCAGATGGGTGGGATATGAATCAAAAAATAAATAAATAATAAATATCTTTTGCTGCCACTGCAGTGGCTGTGGGGGTGCAAGGGAACAAACCAGGAAGTACAGGAAAATGCTAAAAAGTCTGTGGTTTGGGTCATTTCATGTTCTCCAGTGTTACCCCAAATGGGTTACTGTTTTTTATATCCTGGGGAGAGGGACCATGAGAGGAGAGAGAGAGAGCCCAGTCAGACTACTGACAAGAAGACCACGCACCAACAATTTTGGGTTAAGCACTATTCATGTAACATTTATTGAAGAGATATAAAACATAGGATATAAGACAAAAGGTACCAAGAGGCCTCTCTTTCATACTTCCCATTCACAAGAGATACCCACTCATCTAGAAGGCCCTTCTCATCTATCTATCTATCTATCTATCTATCTATCTATCTGTATCTATATCTATATCTATATCTATATCTATATCTATATCATCTATCTAATCTAATCTAATCTAATCTAATCTAATCTAATCTAATCTGTCTGTCTGTCTGTCTGTCTGTCTGTCTGTCTGTCTGTCTGTCTGTCTGTCACCTGCCTGCCTGCCTGCCCGCCTGCCTGCCTCCTTGCTTGCTTGCTTATTTATATTTTTTAATCCAGCTTTTTCCTTAAAAAGGAGCCAAGGCAGCTTACATCATTTAAAGACAATATTTAAAGCTAAAATCACTAAGTCTCCAAAAGGATCAAACTAGTAGACAGCAAACAAACACCAAAAATACGTTCAAAGCAGCAAGGTACAATCATCAGTTAAAAACCCTAGCTAGGCAACCTGTCATTATGATAATGCTTGTCTAAGGAGAAAGTTATTTGCCTGCATGCAGAAGAGCAGCCTGGCCTCCTCTGGGAACAGCCACAGAGAAGGCTCTCTCCCATGTCCCCACCCAATGCACATGTGAAGGTGGTTGGAACAAGAGAAAGGCTTCTCCTGATGACCGTAACAGCAGTCTCCTAATGAGAACCAATAGGGACACACTTCCCCCAGTGTAGGTTATCCACCAAGGCAATCAAATCAGTCTCTGACCCATAACCAAGCCTGAGGCCAGATTGAAATGGATCCAGATAACCCATCTCATCTAGGAACCCCTGGAGCTGAGAAACCACAACCCACTCTAGCACCTGGCCGAAGAATGGAATCTAAGAGAGGAGAAATTTTTTTTATGAAAGATGCAAATCTTCACTTTTCACAGGCGAGAATGAAAAATTTCAAAGGTTTTCTCCTGGAGAGATTAGCTGGACTGTTTTGTGCACTTTTCATGTAGTGACAATTTTTCACACAAAAATGTGAAAATAGTTTCTGTGCAAAGTCACTGGTGTTGGTCCTGGACTTCTGCTACCAATCCCTTGCAACTCTTTCGAAATTCAAGTTACATAACAGGCGAGAACTAGGTGTGTATATTATACTCCTTAGAATGGATTTTAAGAGGTGTGGCTGCGAAATCAGATGGATACAAAGAACAGCGGATAAGGGGTTTTTTCCCCACCCCTTATTGTTTTCTCACCATGTATTGCCTCACACCACAGGATGCAAAGTTCCAGGATAATCTGTTGTTAAATGAGTGGGGGAAATGTTGTGGAGGAATAAGGAATAAGGCACCATCTGTGGGTTACTCATGGGATGTCATCTTGGTAGGGCCACAGGTAGCCTCCCACAGATGAATCAGAGGGTCCCCTTTGCCCTCACCAACTTCTATATTCCTTCTAGAAGTGACAAAAAGACTCCACAGATGGAGTGATTTTTCCCCCTGTGCCCTTGGCTTGGCCTAGAAAAATTACCTTCCAATTTATTTTAGAAGAGCTCATTTAATTTCTGAATTAATCCAAAGGGAGATTTGTGAAGCTTTCCCATAACTACTCTATGCTCACAGAATACCTGTGGAGGAAAATATATATTACTGCTTAAAGCAGTTCGCTGCCAGATGCTGGTGTCCATGAAGGAGGAACCCTCAAAATACTGTTTGACAGGCAAAAGGGGCAAACACATGAGAGCAATGAATGGGAAAAATTACCACCATAATTGAGCTTCATATTATTTATTGAAAAGGATCAGATC